CAATGACTTCAGTGAAAATGCCTTGAATGATAGCACAATTAACCTTCCTAACAGGTAAAGAAATCGCAGGAATATCTATTATTTCCTTAATCTCCACAATGGCATTTTAAGGCACATATTCATTCATTCTTTCTTCAGATGAACAAACTGCAGTTCAGAGTACTTAAATGATTTTGTCAAAGTCACTCAGCCAGAATGTGGCAGAACTGGGACTTGAATCTAGACCTTTGATTCTAAGACAGAAGAGCCCTGGCTCTTCCCACAGTGCCACCCCTCCGTCACCTTCCACTTCTGAGGAGATTTTATTTCCTCACGATAGTAAAAACTAACAAATGACAAGATCAGGGACTAGAGCAAAGTTCACACACTACTTAACCTTCAATGATCAGAATTAATTATTGTTTGCTGTGTGAGTAAAGCATGGATAGTGCCCAAGAACAAATAAAATTATTTTAGATTTTTGCTAGTAAATTTCATTTTCACACTGCTTGCATTTCATTACAATGTTTGAAGAGGTAAAATGAGAAGCTGAACTATGGTGAGCTCCAAGGACCCTTCCATGCTAAAATATATATACAACTAAGTTTATACCGCTCTTTAGAATTTTTAAATGTGGTTATACGCATGTGTACCTTTGACCTACACAAGTGTCTAGTGTCCAGCATAGCACCTGGCATATAGTAGATGTTCAATAATACTAGAGGAAGAATGAATGAATAAACAATGCATGCAAGAATCAATGGTGATGCTGGGTGTGGTGGCACACACCTGTGATCCCAGCGGCTCAGGTGGTTGAGACAGGAGGATCTCAAGTTCAAAGCCAGCCTCAGTAAAAGCAAGGTATTAAGCAACTCAGTGAGACCCTGTCTCTAAATAAAATACAAAAAAGGACTGAGGATGTGGCTCAGTGGTTGAGTACCCCTGAGTTCAGTCCCAGTAACCTCCCCCCCACAAAAAAAAAAGAATGAATTGTGATTGAGTGACAGAGCTGGGCTCAAACACAGGTTGACTCCAAATCCAATGGCAGTAATATAACATTTCCAGGGAGAAGAAAAGAGGAGTCCCAGGATCAGAATAGAGGGGAAATATCTATAGGAAAAAAAATTACTATCCATATTCCTGCCACATCATCACTCAGCAGGTAAGTAGTATTACTGGCCCCACTTTAAAGAGGAAGAAATCAAGGCTCAGAAAGGTTTACTGACATCTCATGAGCACGTGGCTAGTTTAGTGAGCTGGACTTGACCGTATGCATCCTGCCTCATTTTCTGCACCCCAAATCCCTAATTCTT